CCTAAAAGAGTATTACCAAATTTACTTATATGATTCGATTCATCAATTAATAATTCTGATGTTCCCTCAGAACTCATTGTAATTGATGGAGTATAGGAAGGTAATTCTCTTTCAGAGTTCAATTCTGTGTCAATGATACCTTCTGTTTCAGGAATCAATTCAGTGTCAGTGTTCCCTTCTGTTTCTTCTAGACGTGCTTGTGCTTCATCCATATCTAAATCCTTATGCTCCGTACGACATTTATACTTACCTAATAATGGTAATGGATTCCGTGCATTATAATCCATAATACTAATCGGACATTTATTTGTTACATTAGAAGTACAAATTTCATTAAAACTTTTATATATCGTATTTATGGCTTCCAGATAATAGCATATTTCATGGCACTTTCCAGCACAATTATAAGTCATTTTATTAAGGACATCAAAATCGATGTAGTAATCATATAGAATTTTCGAATTTTTCCAATCATCGTAGAAATTAATAATAGAATTATAAGGTACACATACGTAAGAATTATCTTTACGCTGTTGTCTAAATAAAGCTTTCCACATAAGCTCCATTTGTTTGAATGCGCTAATACTATCATTTTGATTAACTTTATGAGTTTCTAATAGCTCATTTGATACCCAGTAGCTTATGAGATTACAGTAATCATGTTTGTTTGTATATTTACGCAATATACTGTCTCGTTTGTTTAAATAAGTTACATATTTCGAGCAAAGGTTTTTAATTTTTAATTCTTTGTCGTACATGGCATGAAAACCTCTACAGAATATTGGAACCTTATATTGTAATTGCATAGAATCTTTTTCCAACGTTTCATAAAATTTTACGGAAGGTAAATCAGATACAGTAAAATTCTATAAGTTAAAATGAAAAAAATTAAAATAGAAAAAATTTATTTATTCATTAATATTATTTATGTTTTATTGAAAATCATTAATTGTAGGATATTCAGTAATACATATATATGCTGTAATATGTATAAATTTAAATGTATCCATACAGCAGCTAGATTTTCAGCCATATTTACATTTATAATACAATAAATATGAAAAATTATAAATTAATTAATGTCCCTATGCATTTATACATAAACTAACATTGTGTGGATATGATATGTTTAAATATATAAATTGTTAATTTAAGCATAAACATATATGTTAAAATAACACATGAAATCCTATAATATATATGATAAAAAATTATATAGAATGTTCAATTAATAATATTTTATATATTGAAATTATTTGTAGTTTATTCATCATAAATAAGATTCTATTTCTTCATAAAAAAAATAATAATACCTAATAAATAATGATTTGAAGTACATTTTAAAATTCTATCTAAATAAAAAATGAAATATATTTGAATTATTATATATAACAAAATTATAATAATGTTCTTATAATTTAAGTTAAATTATTGTTACATCGAGCATATGTAATTAAAATGTATATAAGATATTTTGAGGAAAATTGAAATAATACACAAAAGGTATTGTAAATATTCATCATAGAGAATATGAAATAAATAATACTATTTGTTTTTGTTATATATTCTTTCATATCTTATAAATAATTAACAAAATATTAAAGGATTATGCCGAAGAATTTATATTTTATAACGCAATCGACTTATATTTTATACTCATTGGGAGTTCCTCAAGTATTAATAACATTTCCTGTCAGGTATATATTTTTTTTCTATAAATTTTATATAAATTAAAATTATACTTTTAATTATTAATAGTGATTCATATCTAGTTCTGGTTTTAGGTTTAGCATTTAGTTTTTAGGCCTTTTTTATAAAATAATTATTGCTTTTAGAAACTATTGTATTATTTTTTATGTATTTTTACAGGTTCTATATTTTGTATGTAGTTTTTAAATATTAGTTATTTCTATATTATAGAATTATATCATAAACTTTTACAAAAACATATTAAAACATAATATTTATATATATGTATTAAATAAAATATTTCAATGCATGAAATTTATATTATATTAATATTTGTATTTGTCATAATGTTAATAAATAATTTGTTATTCCGTACTCATAATATATTATTGTTTAGTATAATGCTTATTATTTATAGATTTATTTTGCTATAAGTATTACATTATTTTGACTTCGCTTATAGCATTATATATATGTGTGATTTCGCGTATCATAATATCTGTTAACACACATATAATACAGTATTTTTTGTTTAATAATCATTGTTATTGATTCTATCATATCATATAAATATATAATAATAATATATCCCTATATTAAACAAATTTTATTCTCATATTATAAAAAAATATGAATTTATTTCGACATCTTATTGAGGAACATATTTTCCACAAAATTTATTCATATATTTTTAGATATTTATCCATTCATTATTATTAATATATTCTTAATATAATTATAATTATATTATTTTAGTATT